CGGTTTAATATGTTCCTGATGGCTAACTTTCTTCAGCTAATCCTAATTTTCTCAGGAAATCTTCAAAGCTTATATCTTCACCATATTTTATCCTGTCAAGGACCTGTTTAATTTTTTCGGAATTTTCTTTCATTAGTTTACTCTCCTTCTCATCATGATAGGATTCCTCACGTGGTTTCAGTATAATTGTCCTGGGCATTGGTCGCAATGGAAAGTTAAATCGACATGTGTTATTTCCTGATCTCTTGCAAGTTTTGGCATGTCTGTGCATTTGCAAATTGGCAAGATTTTCCATTTCACTAGAACTGTTTGGCTTGTGGCAGATGATAAATTTATCAGCAAATGTGACAACCTCCTCACTAGAATGTTTTTCATACCGTGGTGCATCCTTTATCCAAAACAATCCATGAATATGTGGCCTTCCTCTTTGCTGAAATTCTACTCTGTGAAAATAATCAGCTATTCCTCCTATAGGTGTAAAACTGCCTTTTAAAACATCACGAATAAACAATTGCACCATGTGGTCAAAGTTCCTAGCACAGGTCACAAAATCTTTTTGAATAAGATCTGATTTTTGATCCCAAGTCATTTGTTGGATTTCATCATCAGTGTACTCTTTTTTCGCAACAATTCTACCTAAAGTTTTCAGAAGATGAGTCCACCTTGTTTCAGCAGCTGAAAAGGAGCAAAACCATGTTGGACTGCCAAGTTGACGAATCATTGCAAACAGGTCGTTTTTGCACTTTTCAAATAAGGTGGTGACCCTCGAACACTTTTTAAAACTCTGAAACCTTCATCTAGGCGTGCAAGCTTATTGAGATAATCTTCAGATTTCAAGTCTCCAGCAGTAAAACATTTTCCTTTCGTCTTACACTTTCTGTGTGAAATACAAGCGCTATCTTGAATTTGCTTGATTTGCAGCTTTTTCAGCTTATAAAAGATGTTAGGGACAGACATGGCAGCTCTCCTATCCTGACTTCCTAATTCCCACTTCGCAGTTGTACTGTATGACACAGGGACCTTTCTTTCATTGTTGTCAGGCCTTCGTTTTCTACAAAATATTGAAGGAAATGAAAGGTATTCCGAGTCCTTGACCAAGAATATTCCTAATGGTTTGTTTCCTTCACCTGGTGCAAAACTAATAATTCTGTCTGCATTTTCTACTATGTTGGATTCTTGCAGTAATGTATCTGTAACTC